TTTTTACGTCACTGTCCTCCATTACTTAAATAAAGTGACTTGATTAGTTACCGAGTTATATCTGAATTATGATGATTCTGCTTACTTTTGACAAAGTATGATTTTGTAAGCGTAAAAATTTTTTAAAAAACGAGGGTTATGAGATATTGTTTACAAAGGTAATAGTATAACTTTAATGGCTTAATTAGATAAAAATTTTTTAAATAGATTAAATTTATGCCGCGTAACCCTGATGGACTAAATATCACATGACCCGAAATTCGAATTGAATTAATATTTACCGAAAGTTCCATTTATTTATTATTAAGATTACGTGATGCATGACTTTTGAACACGTCATATGATATTAACGCCGGGAGGTAAACATAATTTTGGTAGAATTAATTCGCAACTCTGGTAAACATAAGTTTGGTGGTAATTTTGCATAATTTTATGAAATTTTGCGTAAGTTTTCAGTAACATAGTTTTCGCTGAGTTTTTCATAGTGCCAGTACTATATATCACGTGTGATATTTACATGAAATCCATGTTACTGAAATTTACGTGAAATTACGTGTATTGTAAAATGTAATTTTCAACCCTAGGTAGAATTAATTCGTAACTCTGGTAAATATAATTGCTTGTAACTCTGATAGACATAATTTTGGTGGAATTAATTCGTAACTCTGGTAAACATCATTCTGTGGGTGGTAGAATTAATTTGGTGGAATTATTCGTAACCCTGGTAAACATAATTTTGGTAGAATTAATTCGTGATCCGCGTAAGAACCAGTGAAACAACATAGTAAATAGTGGAGATATGTTTACTATATATTTTTTATCATTTTTGGAATCTGGCGTTTCCCAAAGGAAAACTTTTTTCTTTACTAAGTAAACCTCACCTTGAAGTTGTAGAGAAGAGACATGCGATTATAATAGTGATTGAAACGTTTAAATCGGCCTAGTGGATCATGAGAAATGGGTATTTTTGTCTTCGCGGTCATATGTTTTTTCTAAAAAAGAATTTCAATGGCTTCCGGTAAAGAACTTGATGCAGTTAAAGAACTCTAGAATTCAATCCGCTTATCAAATATTTGTTTGAAAACTTCTTTAAGGATTTTTTGGAGCATCATTATTGGTATTGGATCGCTATCGGTGTCTCATTCTGATCATATTTCAGTATTTTATTAAATTTCACAAAATTAATAATTTTATTTATAAATTCATACCTGATAATCAATTGATTGGTTTAATGAATAAAAAACAATTGGTTAATGACATAAATTAAAGAATACGTCAATATTTCATCATCTTCATGACTATTAATTGAATCTTCAGATTAATTTATCCTTTCAGAGAAAATGAACTTCGTGAATTCTTACCTCATTAATGATTATATCTGATTTATTCATATCTGATTGAATTTCTAATGTATCTTCCATTTCATCAGGTTGCTTTTAATGAATAGTAAAATGAATTTATAACTATAATAACAATAATAATTATAATAAAATAAAATAATATTATACTTTTAGTTCATTTATGATACAGGTACAGTATGGGACAAAAAAAACCAGAATTAGAAATTGTGTAACTATGGCGCAGTAGTATCATTAGAATTAAATAAAATTTATATAATTTATAATATAAAACTAGATATTTATTTATTAAAAAAATTGATAAAATAAATATAGTATATATGTGCTATTTTTTAAAATTAAAAGTTTATATTAGCATTTATTAAATTAACTAGACTAACTAAAACTAGATTAAAACTTTTATTTTATTTCATATTTGTATAATATTCTAATATACTAAAAATTTTTAATATAAATTTTTTAATACTTATATATTAGCTATACTAACCAAATTTGCAATTTTAGCTATCTTAGCTATATTAATTATAATAAAATATTAGCTATACTAGCCATATTAGCTACATTAGCCACACTAGCCACACTATCCACACCAAGTTTAATAAATATTTAACAAATATTTAATTATATAATATTAAATAAAAATTGTTTAAAATTTATTATATACTTTTTGTCTTCAAATTTTATATAAAAATTAGTAATCAAAAATCTAATCCAAAAAATTTAGATAATGTAATTTTAAATTATATAAAAAATATTCTGGTTTTTTTTGTCCTATACTGTATAATAGTTTAGGTCAAAATCCTAACAAAAATTGATCGGAACTAACCTAATGTAGGCTAACTTGTTGGGATTCTGACCTTGCAGGATTTTGACTGCCTCACAATATAATAAATCAATCTATTTACCTTCATGACCCCATGATTTTTTACATTTTCTATTATTTGATCCTTTAATTTTTTTCTTCGTTTGATCACCTTGTGCCTTGCGTTTCATTTGTTTCAATTTCTTTAAATTTCCAGATTTACATTTATTACAATACTAATCTTCAGCAGGTATTCTTGCAAGTGGAGGTTTTGAACATCTGGTATGAAAGTTTTTAACACAATATCCATCACACAAGAGAATACGGCCTCGATCACTTGCATAGCCACTAAGATTTTCTTGCTGAGTTTTTAAAATTAAGTTTTTTTAATTTTGAAGTTTTTTTTTAAACTAGAATTAGATTCCATTTCCGAATTGTTTATTGGCAATTTCTATAGCTCAGCTAAGCCTTTTAAATGTATTACTGAAATTCAATACACTAATCATCATATATTAACTAAATAAAATAAGTTTTAAGCTAGCATTTTAAGCATTATATCAAAAATCTTATCATAATATTTACGTATACATACACTGGATTTTAATAAAGATTTAATCATTGCATGAAATAATTTTTCAAATATTCTTTTCTAATTCTTTTAAACTTTCGTCAGATAATTTATAATAATCTATGTTATCTGCTGCTGGTTCTTTTTCTTCAATTTTTTTAATAAGGTCAGCCCATTCTTTTTTTGATATGTGTTTCAGTTTAGGAGGGTCAATAGCCTCACTATTATAAATGACTGACCATCCCAATCTTTGAACAAGTATCAATGAACGCCTGGCTGCAATCATCTCATTTTTTATTATTGCCGGTTTACCTTTATGGTAAATGGCAGATGATTCTTCTAATATCCTATTCACACGGCTTGAAATTCTTTTGCCTATTGTAAATTCATGATTCCAGTTATTTGTCTCTTGGTTTATTTCTTGTCTTTCTTCTCCAGTATCTTGATCGAACACGGTAATATGACTGGGAACAAAAAATTGATTAGATTTCTTTAGTTCCATTATTTTTTTTGTTAGTTTAAATGATATATATGCCAATTCGCATAGGGCATGGATGTATATGACTCTTGAATAGTGGAAATTCGCTTCGTTATTAGCTATTTTTTTCCAAATATTTTTGATTTGACTTTCGATATTAATATTATCCTCCTCTTCGATTTTGATGGGCATTGGTAAAGACTCTAAAAATTCAGTCCACTTGTGAAATATTTCAGTAAAAATTTTCTTTTTTGGTATATCATCACGAATTGTTATTGGTGCTGGATCTCCATTAATTAGAATATCAGTGTATTTTTTTGTTTTGCTATGCTACATTTTGAATCCTATTTATGTTAGATATAGGTCAATTTAATTTATTCTTGTTATAGATTCTTACCTGATCAGTCTTTAGCAAATAATAAATATATATATTAGATGATGACTATCAGAATAAAGCTTGTTATTAGTGCTCTGCAAGTGCTGGTATGTGCCCTATCAAAACATAGTGCCAGGTACAGGCGGTCTATGTTTAATAGAATATGTCCGGCACTTGCAGAGCCCACTTATGTTAAAAAATCTTCATACTTGTAAAGATCGACTGTCTTCATCTGTTATACTATCTTCGTTTGGAATACTATCTTCGTTTGGAATACTATCTTCGTTTGGCATACTATCTTCGTTTGGCATATTATCTTCGTTTGGTATATTGTCATTATTTAACATATTATTTTCATTTGACATATTAACTTCATGATCGGTTGAGCTTTCATATTGATTCACTGATTGTAGAGATAGTGAACTTTGAGAATTATCAGATTGTGAAAATGATGCCTTTTTGATTGAATGATTTAACGATTACATTGTTAAGTTTTTTTTAAAATGTTTTTTTTTTAAATTTATCGTTTATAGATTCTTATCTGAGTGTAAATATCCGATTCGATCACTGGAGTATAATCTATTCCATCTACTTGCTTTTAAGAGATAATAACATGAATGATATTGATCAAAATTAAAATTCACATTATGTGTTTATTAATACTAACAAATTCATTGTTGTCTATAAAAACAATCGGAAACTTATTGCTCTCCACCCTCTCATTAACCGAGTCATTGATATGTCAGGTTGATTTATTGATATTTTCTATTATTATTTTATACGTTGTCTAATAAGTAAAATTTATATGAGTGTGGCCAAGGGAAACCCTCGATAGGGAAATTATGTTACATGAAGGTTTAAATCGATTAATCTTTGATAACTCACGATCTAGTGATCCAATCCTGACGATTTTGATACCATTCGAATCCTCTCGATAATAGAATTCTAATGGTATCGGAATCACCAGGATTGGATCACTAAAACATGAGTTATCAAATTTAAAACTTCGTGTAATATAATTTCCACATCGAGGTTTTCCTTTGGGTCGTTACACTTGTAAAAATACAATTAAATTTGACGTGATACCCAAAGTATCCAATAGTGTCTTTCTCCTTTTGTCACAGTTTAATTTCGTTTTCTTTAAAGATTTCCTTATATTAGGACTTTCTTCGTTGCTAGAATGCAAAGTATCCAGATACTTATATTTATTTTCGCTATTCGATTTCAATTTTTTTTTCTTTTTTTTAACAATTTGATTATCAACGTAATCTGGACTTACATTGTACGCTTCAATTTCTTTACATTTACGGTTTCAGACCTTCTTGGTGAATCGTCATCAAGGTCATCTTGCTGTAAATTTTTGATATCAAGATTTATATTTTACACATTTTTGAAGTTTTAATTGAGCAAATAATTATCTAGTTGAAAAATTTTATATGATTATCATGAATAGATTCAATGTCACTGATGTGTTTTGATAGGGTTGCTTGTTCAAGCATATTGGAGATATCGCTGACAGGTTCATCCGTCTCCTCATCATTTTCATGGTCAAAATTAACATTTTCTTCTTGCTAAAGTTTCAATATAATTACATTTTAAAAAAAATTTAATTATAATTTAATAAAGTTTAAATTTTGATTACCTGATTTTCAATAACATTCTCATTGTCTAATAGATATTTAAGGGCATTAAAATTACTCTCTTGATTTTTCTTAGTTCCTTTCGAAGTTCTAAAAAATCTATTTATCTGCCCATCTGTCTGTTGGACTGTTCTTACAGCAGTATTACTGTCAGACTCAATTCTATCTATACTGACTTGATTGTTATACATTAGTTCACCAACTTCATCACGATCTTGAATTTCCTACATGATTATTTTGTGAGTATTAAAAATATTGACTAATTATTAAAAATAAAGCACTTACCTCATCAATTATAATAGGACCTTTTCCAGCCAATTCAGTTCTTATTTTTCTAAAATTTTCTTCGTTTAAGAGGACCACTCCTGGTGCATCCAAGTTGACAGTAGTATTAGTGTCATTATCAAAGGTAATGGTCGCCGAAAATAACGGGTCATTAAAAGTAATAGTAAGAATTTTTCCATGTGCTGCTTTCCAAATCAACTTAATTGATGCCTTAATAATGTCGTTTGGATCTTCTACGAGCCCAAACATTATTTCTTAATAATAAAAATGTTTATTGTTTGAAACAAAAAGATGGCATCAAAATAAAGAATTCTAAATGATTATTTATATCTTATTAATTCAATTTGACTATGATAACATCTCACTGATAAAATGACATTAAGTCTCTCTTTAATTAAAATTTAGTAATAGCGATATCATAAATACGTTGATTAATATTTGATTCATAAGCTTATACTAAATCAATATAAAAAATAATTTCGTAATAGTTATTTTTTATAGTGATTAATAACACGATTCTCTTCTTTTTGGATTCAGATGATCCTTCGAAAAGTTCATTTTCAATATTTCAAAAATTTGTGGGATAATATAGTAAAAATTCCATAAATGCCATGCCTTTTGATTATCATGAGTCTATGTAAAAAAAAATTTATTAGCGTTAACGTTAGTACAAATAGATTCAGACAAAAAAGGCATGAGGCTTTTTTATCGATATCGATACCTGACTAACTAGTCATGTGACTTATTTCAGCATCTACTGATGCTGAAATACTATGACGTGTTTTAATCTGGTAGCTTTAGTCGATACCTATACAACCTTATAAGAATTCATTTTCAAACTACTTTTCAAAATTTCTTATCATTATAACTATAGAAATCCTATTGCTTCTATCTTAATGTAACTGACAAAATAATATCTCTACCAACCCTTATCTGAGTATGAAAATCAATTACGTAATATCGATATGTAGTCACGTTTGTATGTAAATATAATAGTACTTATGAATTGTATGTAAATATAATAGTATTTATGAATTTAAAGTCTATATTGACATTTCTTTTATTTTCATAGGTGGTTAAATATTTTTAAAATATTATTCTATAAGACTACTTAAAGCCAGCTATATCATATCATTTCGCAGACTCATGGTTAGTCCCGTAAAATCATATGATCATAGCTTTGGAATAATGTTCTATACGTAATATCTATACCACACAATATTTTTACATTAAACGAACCTAAATTAGAATACTTTTATATTAATAGCTCAAATAAATCAAACAAGTTAACATGTATATGAATAATTTGTATGAATAGAAAACAAACAAATATTTAAATGCACTCTTCTAATTCTTTTAAACTTTCATCTGATAGTTTATAACAATTTAAGTTATCTGTTGGCTCTTTTTCTTCAATTTTTTTAATAATGTCGGTCCATTCTTTTTTTGACATGCGTTTCAGTTTAAGAGGGTCAATAGACTCGCTATTATAAATGACCAACCACCCCAATCTTTGAACAAGTATCAATGAACGCCTGGCAGCAACTATTTCATTTTTGATTATTGCTGGTTTACCTTTATGGTAAATGGCGGATGATTCCTCTAATATTCTATTCACACGGCTTGAAACTCTTTCACCCACTGCGAATTCACGATTCCAGTTATTTGCCTCTGGATTTATTTCTTGCCTTTCTTCTCGAGTATCTTGATCGATCACAGTAATATGGCCGGGAACAAAAAATTGACCTGATTTCTTTAGATTCTTTATTCTTTTCATTAGTTCAAATGATATATATGCCAATTCGCATAGGGCATGGATGTATATGACTCTTGAATAGTGGAAATTCGCTTTACTATTAGCTATCTTATTCCAAATATTTCTGATCTGGCTTTCGATATTATCATCCTCTTCGATTTCGATAGGTCCTGGTAAAGATCCCCGAAATTCAGT